GGAGGTGGGGGACATAGGGGGTGATGAGGGATGTGGGGGGATGATGGGTGAGGGTGAGGTATGGGGATCGATGGTGGGAGGAGGGGCTTGAAGGGGGATTTAGGGTGTCAAGGGGGATTGGGAGGCGAGGGAGTGTGGGGGGGGTGAGGAGGGAATGAGGGGATCATAGGGGGTGGGAGTGATTGGGAGGTGGGTTGATGGTGTGTGGAGGGGGGAATGGGGGGATTTGGTGTCTGAAGAGGGGTTAGGAGGTGAGGTAGGATGGGGGGATGTGAGGAGGGTGAGGATGGATGGGATGAGGAAGGAGGTGGGGGGCTGAACGGGGGTTGAGAGGTGAGGAGGGGTGTAGGGATGATGAGAGGTGGATGGAGGCTGAGGGGGAGTAGCGGGGTTGGGGCGGCGAGCCCCCCACCTATACGGGTGAGGGGTGGGAGCACTGGTGTCACTGCAGTCCCAGCATGGCAGTGACACCAGGAACCTGTGTGTGTGTGTGTGTGAGCATCGAGTGTAACCACCTGTGAGCCCCAGCACCTGACAGGGCAGTTTGGGGGTGTGACAGGGGGATACTGTCACACCACTCTGCTGCGTGTGCCCACAGGGGCTGGAGAACTCTGGAGTGTGTCACAGCCTGCACCAGGGCCAGGCTTTTCCCAACACCTGCTCAATGGGGAGGGAATTGACAGACACTGAGCCAGGTCAAAACAAACATCACCACCGTACAAAGCAATTGCCTTTTAATACACAACCAAACACGGGAGGGGGGTGAGTCTTAGAAGGTCTCTTTCTCCTCGGCATCATCCGGCTGCCAAGAGCAGCACAAAGAAATCACAGAGCGTAAAATGAGACACTGCCACCAAAACAGACTTTATGTGCACAGCCACAAGGTATGAAGAGATCAGACACCAGTCACAGAGCACCAGGGGGTCTGTCAGGGCCCCAGGCAGCAGAGCCTCGTGGGTGCCCCCACTCCGAGGTGACCTTTGGAGCCTGTGCCCTTGGCACCCTGTGTTTCACGTCGTCTCACTAGTGCCAGGACAGCAGAGGCTGGTGAGCAGAGTCCATCCTGCTGCTTTTTGGGTCCGGATCATGGCGAGCCGCCTCCTTGTCCTGTCCGAAGTGCTCCTCCAGGCCACTTTGGAGGGGCCTGGCACATTTCAGCATCTCTCTGCCCCCAGCCTGCAGACAGGAGCTTAACCTTTCCCAAGCCCATCAGCCCTGGTACAGCGAGGCAAAGCAGGATACAAAGGAAGAGATCCAGGGGGACAACGCCACTCCACACCAGGACACACTGCCTGGCTGCTGGCCCTGCACTAATTACCTGATTTAATTTGCTTGGTAAATGCTTAAGAGTGGTATGAGAGGCAGATGTGATGCTGAGGGTGATGGGTGCACGGGGGGAAGGTACGAAGGTCCCCAATCACTGTCCTCTCTCTGACACAACGTTGCACTCCAGTGTGGTCTCAAATCGAACACACCCTCCCCCATCACTGCTGCTTCTGTGGGTTACCCTGATGGATTGGGAGAATGTGCCCCACGGTGGGGGAAAAAAAAAATAATGAATTCACATCTTAGGTCACCAGGGGCTCTGGAGGAGATAGAGAGCACAGGAGGGAGGGAGCAGAGGGACTCAGGCAGGTGGAGATGATGCAGGGGACTGAACAGCAACGTGACAAGGGTGGTCCACACACACAGGTGATGAGGAGACCACACTGAGTCAAGAAACAGCCATTCAGTGCTACCTGCAGCGCTACATGCGAGGGAGAAGGTCCACCTGCAAGAGGCTGCCCCAAGCACATGGGCCAGGCGAGCACAGTGTCCTTCCCTGGACCCCCTGAGCCCACAGACCTCCACACTGGCACGGCTGCATCTCCCTGAAAGACTTCTCATGGGAAAAAAAAGTCCAAACCACTGCATCTTCGACTGCCTGACAGCACTGGAAGACAAAATGCTGAGTGACCAGGAAGCACAGGGCACCGCTTGCAGGTATGAGAAGAGCCCCCAGCTGCTGGTGGCTTTCCAAAATGCGGCTCCCAGTTCACAGTGATGTTTCAAAGCAGGCTGCCCACAAAGGCCGGTGTGCCCGCAGCCCCTGGCAGCTCCCCTCGCTGCCTCCCCACGAGCCGGGGCACCCCTCATGTCCTGCAGCCCTCACACCTCACCTTGGGCTGGATGTCACAGGCACAGAGCCGCTGCCCGCCCACCGAGGGCCCCGCCGGGCAGCCAGGGCCCCGCTCCGAGCACGGGGGTGCTCCTGCACCCCCCTTCCCAGGGGCAGCTGCTGAGCACCTCGGAACCGAGCGCGCCGAGGGACGGGATGCTCCGGGATGGTTCTCACTGGGGCAAGGCAAGGCACCCAGCTGCTGGGGAAGGGATACTTTGGAGGCGTCCCTGAGGAAATTGGTCTCCTGCCTAAGAAGGCTATTTCCATACTGGTACTCCGGCGGCACGACATGGTCCATCCGGTGGGTGCTGGGAGCCGGGCTGGATGCCAGCAGGAGCCCGCTGTGTTGTACTGGACCTGCCCCAGCCTGGGGGAGCCACAGCTGGTGCTGTGAGATCCACTCGGCCTCTCGGAGCACTGCCTGTTCCCCTTCCCAGGAAACGTTGGGCTCTAGGTGGGGTGTCAGGGGCTGTTTGGGGAAGCCACCATCCCCTGGCAGCTGCCTGGCTCCTAAGGGTGCTGGCACTCTTGCAGGGAGAGCAGCCTCCTCCTCACGGAGGTTCCCATCCCCTGAGAACAAGGACTCATGCAAGCCCTGGGCAGGGCAAGGAGCAGGCTGGGAGGGGGGTGGCAGCCACAGCCCGGCCCCCGGGGGGCTCTCGGGGCATCCAGCCAGCAGATTCTGGGACTCCACGTGCGCTCCTGCTGCTTCCAGCTGTTTCGGAGCTCTGGACATCCAAGCTGCTGATGGGCAGCCTCCAGGAGGAGCACCCTGACCCAAAGCCAGGTTTGCCTGTAGCGGGACATGGTGCCACCGAGTCACTAATGTGTTTGAGTGCACGGGAGGCGGGCAGCTTGAGCCCAGCAGCTGGCACCCCAGATGGCTCTGAGCAACAGGAACAGAGTTATCCACAGGAGCAGAGGGGGCAACTTCTGCTTGAAGCACTTGGCTTGCCCGCTGAAGTGCTACAGGGGATTTGGTGCTGGGGACCGGGACACCCAGCACAGTCCCTCCCACCAGCCCAGCTGGGTCAAACGGGACCTGCTGCTCTGGCTGAGCTGAGCTCACCTCAGAGCTAACGGAGCCTGCAGAGACCACAGCACCTCGGCCTCCTTGTGCACCCGGGGCCTGGGGCTGTGCTGGGGATTGAGGCACTGAATTAGCTGCCCAGCAGTGCTGGAAATGAGCCACAACGCTGTTTTCCTCATTGCAGTGTGGGAAGTCCGCACTCTTCCCAGCATCCTCCCCGAGGAGCATCTGCTCCACACAGGATGTCACCTCGGTGCCTGGCCTCTGGCCAACCCCCTGAGCCGGTGACTCCTCCTCTGCCCCCAAGCTGAGCAGAGCCTCCTCCCACTGCTGCAGCTCTGCATGGTCCATGCTGAGACTCTGGCAGACATTTCCCTCCACCTCGCTCTTCTCAAAGAGGGTTTCTATCACCACCAGGAGGGAGTCGCTGTCCTCCTTGGCATCACTGATGTCCTCATTCCTGCCCAGTCCCTCGGGCTCAGAGATGAAATCTGCCAAGGAGAACTGAGGCATGTTATCAGCGTGGGAGTTGTATATGGATGCATCCTGCTTCATCATGGCCCCAAGGAGAGAGTTGGGGTCTACCATGTGCTGCTTTGAGTGGGAATTTGCTTGTGTCTGCAACTCCTCTTTGGCTTGGAAGGGGTCCAGGAACCCGGGAAGGTCATTCTCATACAAGACTGCTTCCCCCGTGGCAAAGCTAAAAGGCAGCTGCAGGTTTCTCTTCTGCAGATGTTCCTCCCCTTCTTCATTCCTTCAGGAAAAAAACAGATGGAAACAGCATGAGCCTCTCCTCTGGGCCAGGCAAAACCACCCTTCTGACAGCAAGAGAGGAGCTCACAGCCCTGCCCTGGCTTTTCTAGAGAAGAAAGGTGCTGGATTGGACTGGTGGAGGATGGGGGCTCTGGGTTGCCTGTGGGGAGGTCTGCATGGCTCAGGGAAGGGCTGAGTGTCCAGGGCTCACTCCAGGCAGGACCATGTCCACACCCACCTCCTCAGAGCCGTTTGACTCATGCTGCAGGAGGGCACGTGCTGCAAAGTGCCAGCTGTGCCCCCCAACCACCCTTCCCTCCACTCTCATGGCCTCCCTGTGCCTGGAGCAGGGATACTCATGAGAGCAGGCAAAGGGAGCCAGGGATACTCTCAAGAGCAGGGGCAGGCAGCTGCCTGCTGCCTCTCAAGAGAGCAGGGGCAGGCAGCCACGGATACTCACGAGAGAAGGGGAAGGGAGAAAGGGATACTCAGGAGAGCATGGGCAGGCAGCCAGGGATACTCAGGAGAGCAGGGGCAGGCAGCCAGAGATACTCACGAGAGCAGGAGAAGGGAGCAAGGGATACTCAGGAGAGCATGGGCAGGCAGCCAGGGATACTCACGAGAGGGCTCTCTGGCGGGAGATGATGAAGTCGGGCCTGCCCCCCTTGTAGACGAGCCGTGCGTTGGACTGCACCCACAGCCAGCCGCCCTGCTTGGTCAGCAGCCGGAACACCGTCAGCCCGCTCTCCCCCGTCTTCATCACTGGGGCAGGGACACAAGAGAGGTGGCACACACAGAGTTCCTCCACGGGGGCACACGAGTGACGCGTGTGAGACACCACAAGGCCAAGGAGCACCTCGTGCGTGCTCTGGGGGCAGGAGGTGCAGGATGCTGCCTCTCTGCCAGCTCCCCGAGCAGGTCTCACCCAGGAGGAGGAGCCTTTATTGCAGCCACTCCAGCCCTGGCACAGACAGCACTGAGGAGCAATGGTATGGCCTGGCCAGAGCTGCACGTGCAGAGCTCCTGACAAACCCCTAGCCCGACAGCCCCCAGCACTCACTCCTGACGTGGTTCTCTGCGCAGAGCATCATGTCAGCCGCGTGCACAAACTGGTACCCGGAGCCCCTCCGGCACAGCTCCCTTTCCGTGTATCCCAGGACAACCTTCCCCCTGGAAATAGCACAGAAACCCTGGGACACCAGGGATGGATCCCCCACAGTTGCACCCTACCAGCCAGACGTGATCCCCTGCCAAAGCCTCCCGCTTTGGCTGGTACTACTCTCCATCCCGGGCTGAGCTGCATCCCCTCCTCCACAAAACCTGTGCTGGGTTTGCTGGGCTAAACCACAGCAGACAGGAAGCACTGGTGCCCAGTTAACCTGCTCCCTGTGTTACTGGGGGGCTGCAGTGGAGCGACAGAAGCATCAGGCACCTTGCCCTGGGAGCTGGCTCAGACATTCCTTGTTCCCACAGGGTCTAATTTTCTGTCCAGCACCAGGGATTTTGCCATGGGGAAGGTGAGAGATGGCCTACCGGGAATCACAGGCCATAGGAGTGAAGTCCAGCTTGTGCTTTGTCTGGAAGATCAGCGTCTTGGTCTGAAGTTCCAGGATGGAGAGCGGCTGGAGGAGTGTTGCAATGGCAAAGAGAGCAACGGGGGACTTGTCTGATGCCAACTTCTGCTGCCCGAGAAGGAACTTCAGGCGCCCACGGAAATTCAAGGCCTAAGGGGGGGATTAGAACATGTGGGAGTGAAGCAAACAGGGTGGTGGGAACTGGCTGTGCTTCCACCCCTGTGGGACACAAGTGGCCCTGAGGGAACACTCTGTGGGCAGAAGGGGAGTAGAGGGATGTCCCAGTGTGGGGCTGCCTTACCAGAAATCCTGAGGAGTTATCCAGCAAGCAGCGGAAGCGGCAGGTGAAGCTCCTCTCCGTGAGGGATTGCTCCTCAGGACGGACGTGCTGGGGGCTGGACGTGGCGCTGCATCCAGCCAGCGGTGGCTGCTCAGCGGGAACGGCTGGAAAACCCAAGGGAAAAGGAAGCTTTCCAAGCTGTGCTGCACACCTTGAGCTCACGGCTCAGACCCGCTGGAGCCAGGGTGTTCCCGCAGGGATCAGCCAGCGCTCACCATCGGCTGCGCGTGCCGGGGGCCTGTGCAGCTGGCGGCGGAAGGCAGCTCTGTCGTCCGCATGGATCAGCTCATACACGCTCTGGTAGATGAGATCCGACTGAAATGACACAAGGGAAGAGCGTCAGCTCCTGGACAGCCTGGCAGAGGTGTCTGGAGGAGGACACGGCCCGGGGTTTTCCTTTGTGGCTGCTAAAAGTGGAGTGACGGAGTGTAAGGAACAGGCAAACACCACCAGCTTTGTGTGCTGGGCAGCAAGGAGAAGGACTGGCTGTGTTTTCAGGGATGGCTCAGGAAGGAGGGAAAGGGAGCAGAGAGGGGGTCTGCCCAGAGAAAGCTTAGGAATGGCTCAGAGGTTTCTAGAAGCAGTAGAAAGGGAGATGTCCAGGTAACCCTGGCTGCTCAGGACCACACACTCCCTGCTTCCCTGGCACTCCCCAGCCATAGCCAAGCAGAGCCTTCCAGCCTCTTCCCCACACTGTCAAGGCTGAGGTTCTCCTAGTGTTATTCAGCCCTTCCTTGGATGTTTCACCCTGGCCTTGGCTCTCAGTCCTTAATGGGAATGCTGAAACTCCAGCTCCTTCCCCTGCCACAGGAGCCCCTGCTCTTTGGGAAGGTGTGCTGCCCATCTGTGGGGTGAACCCATGTTAACTTGCAGTGTCTTCTCAGGACCAAATTCAGACACAGTACCAGACAAGCTGTGGAGTGCCCGAGGGGATTGGCTTGTGGAGTAGAAGATGCTGGTCTGCAACAGCACACAAAGCTCTCTCCTGCGTTGCCATCCCTGGTTCTCTGCAAATTTATTCCACAGGATCAATGTAAAAAACAATTTTAAGTACATTTTGACCAAACCGAACAATTTTTTTTTTCTTTTCAGACTTAGGCAGGGGAGTTTGCTGTTTCAAAAAAGGGTTTTGGAGGTTTTATTTACTCGAAACCCATGGGAATTTGTATCCCAGAGGTCCTGCCAAGCCCATGGGCAGCATAGGCCATCGACTGCCAGGTCCCTGCCCTCAGGAACATGTTGGATGAGAGTCTCCTGCTTAACCAGACATACTTTGAGAAGCTGCTGCCTGACAGCAGTTTTGACTTAGGGCATCAGCCATGAGGATCCCAAGGAGCTTGGAAAGGGTGCAAAGAGAGGAAGAAGAAGTAAACACCATGAGTCTTCACAGGTCCTCCAGGAATCCCTGCAATGAAACAGGTTTAGCAGCCTCACAACCCTCCTGTTGCCTCAGTCCTTTGGCCAAAGGAGCTGGATTTTGGGGGGAATCAGAGGTAAGAGGGTGGATGTGGGGAGAGGCCTGCTTTTCCTTGGCATCCCATGTAACTCACAGTCCTTCACGGCACTGATACTGCTTGTTGGTGAGATTCCCTCAGCCCTCTAAGTGAGGGCATGTGTGCCCAGCAGGACGATACAAGAAATATCTCACACCCCTCTCATACACAAAGGCAAGAGGACACAGAGCTGCCATGGCTCAGCTGGCATCTGTTCCCACTAAAGTCTCAAACACACTTCTTGGCTTTCACAGCCCCCAGAGAACATGACTCATTTGGGAATGTGCATCAGAAGGGACCCAAGGGACCTGGGAAGGGAGAAGAAATAGCCATGCCAGCATGGCTATCAGCACCTCTTTCCCAGACAAGCAGTGCATCCACCTGCATGCCAGGAAAACACGGTACCCACCTGATGGAAGCCCAGGTAGTCCTGCACTGTAGGGGAGATGTAGAAGATGTAGCCATCTCCTGTCACAGCGATGACAAAGCCATTGAGTGCCTGAAAGCAGAAGTTGAGCCAGAGTTACCCTCCCCAGCTTCAACCCAGCTGCTGAAAAATGGAATTCCTCAGGTGTTTCTTCAGCATCAGGGGGACAGGAAGGGACCTTCTTCATCAACAAGGAACCCCACCAAGAAGGAAAGCATCTGGTAACCACACAGGACTTAATTCTGTTGGTCTTTTTGTCCCCAGCATGAGCAGTGATCTGGGATGGACTGACCACTTTCTCCAAACCCATCATGGAAGGCGTCACTGCAGGGCAGCTCCTGCACCAGGAGGGACCAGCTAAGGAGAGGTTTCATGGAAGATCTAGAGTTGGTTTCCTCCTCTCCAGCTGCACCAGCTTGGCACAGCTACACTCTTCTGGGGCTCTGATTTGGACAGGATGATCCTTGTGGGTCCCTTCCAACTCAGGATATTCTATGATTCTGTGATTTCCTCTAACAAAACCTGCTTACAACTTCAATAACAAGTAGCAATGGGTGTATAGGGGGAAGAAGGGCTGCTCTGAGCCATTCAGGAGCCTGCAGACTCCTGGATAAGCCTGGAGTCAGTTCAAGCTAACAAAGCCTTCAAAGATAGCAACCAAACTCCAGTCACTCCCTAACCTGACCTATTTATCCACTCGTTAATTTTAAGGATGACATCCAAAGACACTTCAAGCCTTGCTCTTCATCCTAAATAGAGGTTATACAAGCTTATTTTTCCATCTCTTCTCCCCATACTGTCTCCAGTCACCTCCTCCCCTCCAAAACCTGCTTTTTAACCCTTAGCACCCGAGGGCATCTCTGCCACTCTCGGCTCTGAGGGTACGTGAACAACTCGTCACAACAGACACAAAGTAGGACCAAACCCAGTCACCAACATCATTCCAAGATGGTGATGCAGCTAAAACCAACACCCACCTTGAAATAAAAGAAGGTGGGAAAATCTGGAATATCAGATCCCAGATTTGTGAAGGCCCTGACACATCAAAGAATCCCAGAGTGGTCTGGGTTGGAAGGGACCTTAAAGCCCACCTTGTTCCAAACCCCTGCCACAGGCAGGGACACCTTCTACTAGCCCAGGTTTCTTCAAGCCATGTCCAACTTGGCCTTGAACACTTGCAGGGATGGGGCAGCCACAGCTTCCCTGGGCAACCTGTGCCAGGGCCTCACTACAAATTAGGGAAACTGTTCCAAAACTCTAGAGGATCATGGCTGGGGTAAAGGGAGGGGAGCTCACACATCCAGTAAACACCCAGTAAATGAGGCAAGATGAAGATCCAGAGATACCTGGTGACCATTTCAGACTGATTTCCACCAAAAGCAAAGCACTGCATTAGACAGTAACTCTTGCCCCTTGCTCTTGTCTGTAATATATTTATTAGTGAACAGATGGAGAGAAATTAGGAAAAGAGCACCCTAAATGGAAACCTAACATACAGATCCAGCTTGCTGAGGGACTGGTCCTTCCCTTTGTGTGCTGCAGCCCCCTGAGGGGCCTTGAGTCAGAGCTTTCTGCAAATTACAATATCTGATTAAAATGCTCTTTGGGAAAAAAAAAAAGCCACCAGGCAGCTCAGTGGGGGATTTCTGTCACACTCACACCTCATAAGCTCTCCAGATGCCTTCAATCACCCGAGGCTGCCAAGGCTCTGGTGGATCAACAAATTGCCGTCAGATGGTCCAACTCCAAACCTCTGGAGAGGGCTCAGGAGCAGCTCCATCGTGGGACTGGGGCAACCACGGGCTCCCCACTGTGTTATTCCAGCTGTTCCTCCGTGACTGTCACACTTGCAGGCAGCTGGGACCGGAGCCCACGTGGGAGCCCTCGTGTGGTCTGAGGTCCATGGCCAGAAGTCACACCGAGCTCCCAGGAGTCGCTGCCTCACCAAAATCCCACACGGAGCCTCGTGCTGGGGCTCTGCTCACACCCGCCCGCCCCCACAGCTCTGGGCTGAAGGGACTGAAGGCAGAGCCAAGCATCCATCTGCTGGTGTTTGGAGAGGTGGCAGAAGAGGGGTGAAGGCCCAGAAAGTCTCCAAGAGAGCTGGAGAGGCACTCTGTAAAGGGTATGTGCGGATAGGACAAGGGGGAATGGCTTCCCACTGCCAGAGAGCAGGGTTGGATGGGACGCTGGGAAGAATTTCTTCCCTGGGAGGGTGGGAAGGCTCTGCCACAGGTTGCCCAGAGCAGCTGTGGCTGCCCCGTCTCTGGAAGTGTCCAAGGCCAGGTTGGACAGGGCTTGGAGCAACCTGGGCTAGTGGAAGGTGTTTCTGACTGTGGTGAGGGATGGAATGAGACGGGGTTTAAGGTCCCTTCCAGCCCAAACTGTTCTGGGATTCTGTGAAAGCACAGGCACAGGCAATGACAGGAACAGGGAGCAGTTAAGGGTCTTGTACAGACCTGCCCTGACCCCAAGGGCAGGGTTGCTAAGCTGACATGCCCAGGTGTTTATTCAGCAACCAGCCTTTCCATGTGACCTTTCCATCCCAGTTCCTTCCAGCTCACATCTACAAATGGCAGCCCAAACCAAGAGCATTCTGGGGCAGCTGGTTCACCAGCCCCTCATGCTCTGGAGTTCCCTGACAGCTCTCCCATTAGACACTCACTGGCCTTTCTACAAAGCAAAGCTCCCACTGCCACGGATTTCTTGCACCCCTCCTTTCAAGATCCATCTTCCCTTCTTTTCTCCCCCACAACCTACAGACTTAAGCTGGGCTTTTCCCAACCCAGGCAGGCAGGGAACATATCCCTACAGAGCTCACGCAACGCCCCAGGTGGGGCAAAGAGTTCCTGGGGGACGTTTTATCCTGAGCTATCACCATTCTCCTCTCGGCATTTGCCAGAACATAAGGAACACACCACCCCAGAGACTAATGAGGGATCAATCCCTACACCACCATACGATATCCCTAAACATCTTGGCTGGGATGGAGCTTGAGTCCATGAGCTGTAGTGTAACCAAAGGGGCAGAAAATGGTAGTGGGGATGAGAGGGAATGGTGGGATGGGGACCTGGATCTGTCCCAGCCAGGCAGTGTCACTGGTCTCTGTCCCTGGGTGCTCAGTGCCTGCAGAAATCACAGGGAAGCAGCTCCAGGCAAGGCAGGGTCTCTCCTTGCTCCACAGATGGGACCACATGCTCCAGAGCTGCTTGGGAAGACCCCAAATGACCAAATTACCTGGAGCAGCAGTTCCCCCTCAGGAAACGGCTCCCTGTCGACCTGCAGGTCTGTATGTCTGTTCCCCCCTGGGGCTCTGGGCTGATCCAGCAGGCAGCTGCCAGCCTTTGGAGCTGTGGCTGCAAGAGAGAAGGCAAGAAATCAGTGTGGAAGAGGCAAGCCAGGAGCCTCTTCCTCCTCCTGCCAACCCCAGGGCTGCTCATGCAGCCACACCACGCCATCCAGAGCCCGTGGACTTGACTTGGAGGGAGGAGAGACCAGTGGGAACTGGCACAGAGCCCATGACAGAGCCATGCCCAACTTGCCCAAGGCTTCCTCCCAGAGATTATTTTCCCTGCTTGATCCCATTTCTGGGAAACCTCACTTCTGCCAAGGTCTGAGGCAGAGATGCAAAGGATAGAGGGGAGCTAAGTGCTTCTGGGATGGCCAGGCTGGGAAACAACACCCAATACAGGAATAACTCTGCAGGTTAGAGGCTGGTAGAGCTGGAGTTCGCTTCAAGCCACCCCAGTGGGGTGCTCTCTCAGCTCTCCTGCCCTTCAGGGCTGAAGAAGGATGGAGGCAAACCTTTCCAAACCACCCCAGATGCCACCAAATTACCCATATTTTTTTTCTCCCTTTGGCTGCTCAGAAGCAGGTCAGAGGGTTGGTGTCCACGACGCTCCCAGGACACCTGAGCAGCTCTCAGCTGCCAGGACTCGTTGCCATGACCTCCCCAGGCTGATTCACGTGCTGCCTCATGCTTCATTCCCAGCGGCCTTCAAGGCAACACCCTTGGGTGCAACCGACATGAAACCTCCTCCTGCCCTGGTCGCAGGACCTTGGGCATCACAGGACACACAGAGAACTGGTTGTTCAGGGAACAGAAATGAGGAGGGTGGCTCCCAGGGACATGCCTGGTACTTCATCTGTTGATTCTCACTGAAAAACCTCAGTCCAAACTCAGGACAATTTCAAGGCATGTTTTTGTGCCAGCTCAACAAAAAACCCCCACACAGATAAAGCTCAAAGCAGCCCCCATGTAGGAACCACCCACCTCTGCCACCACCACGAGCTCCCACAGCGCCCCAAGGTCAGACAGAGCTCACCTATCCCATGGGATCCACATCCCAGCAGAGATCACTGCCTGCCCTGGTGTGTCAGATGGTGCTGTGTGACCTTGGGTGGATCCAAAGGGAAAAACTCCTCTGAATTTGGGAGAGCGGTAGGAAAGGAGGAAGAACCTCAAACCACCCCAAGCCTGACTGTACATTTAATTTTCTCCATGGCAGAAGCTCTCGCTCCACCATTGAAAGGTTTTTAAAGGTTTGTTCCCTGGGAACACCAAGTTCAAAGCCAAAATAATTCAAAACCCAAAAAAGTTCCACGTGAAACTGCTGCCATGAGACATTTTGCTTTGCATCAAACCATCAGTATGCAAAGACATTCCCCCTGATGGCTTGGCATGTTTGTAATAAAACCCAGTTTGGGGCCAAAACATCCCTGGGATGTATTTCTACGTGGGACAAGGGCCTGCCCACGCAGGCTGTCAACAGGCAGGGCAGGGACAAAGGTAGGGCAAAGGGAATTAGCTGAAGGCCTTGCACAAGGTGACACAAAGAGCAGTGGGGAGGATGCTCTGAGGCCACAAAGCAGAATTACCCTCGATCTCTGTCGGTGAGAGAGCTGGGATACTTCAGCCTCCCCAAAAACTCGATGCTCAGGCAGCACCTCCACCTTCTCCATCAGTCACATCTTCTGCCCTCTCCCATTCTGTGCCCTCAGAGGTGGATCAGCCAGGCCAGGGGATCTGAGACCTCTGGGAAAGGCAAGGAGTCACCAAACAAAAAGCCTTCTCACATGACTGCCATGTGATCCCCAAGTTCAAACACTCTGAGCCCATCTGGACCGCGGGTCTGGCTTCAATTTACACTTCATGGAGCGGAATAATTTCAAAATGAAACATCAGCTCTTTTTTTAAATCTGATTTCTTTTGAAGTGCTGACTCCTCTCTGAAGCATTGAAATGAGGCAAGCTGGCAGGGGGCTTCAAAAAGGAACGAGTTCTTCCAAAACAAAGCTCCGAAAGGGCAGTGAGTGATTTGAGAGGACGCACATCCCGGGAACGTGTGGTCTCCAGCTCTCTCCCAGTGCCCGCCAGCAGCATCTGCAGGGAGAGCTGGGGAGAGCTGCTGTGGGCTTACAGCATCCAACAGGAAACGGGTCCAACATGTATCCAAGCTATAATGTACCCACAGCAATAGAAACAACTGCAGAGAAAAGGACGATGCACTTTTGCTGTTTGCGCCCAGTTTTTCCAGCCTCCTGCTACGCATCCTTGAGAATAAATGGGAATTAACACGATGATGTGGTGCTTGGGGACATGATTTAGTGGTGGGCTTGGCAGTGCTGGATTAATGGTTGGACTTGATGATCACAGAAGTCTTTTCCAATCTTAACGATTCCGTAATTCCATGAAAAAGACCACGGGAAAAGTCATCTGCAATACTAGACAAATTCCAGGGGTTTGCTGAAGCGATTTGGTGATAATTTCTATTTTCAAAGAGCTTGGATAAGGGCTCTCTGTGTGTAACTTTTAAGACAGGAGGGGAAAATCCAGCTCTGTCCTGAACCCCAGCACCATGAGAGCACTGGAGGAGGTTTCCTGCACTGGTGTGATCCCCAAAGATTGAAAAGGCTTTCATTCAGCCAGGGAAGCAGATCAGTAACAGACAGGATCAGTAACAGACAGGATCAGTAACATTTTCATCCCCTCTTGGGGGCTTTCTTGCCTCTGCAAGGGGGTTTCTAAGCCCTGCAATGGAGGAAAGCCCTCAAGCAGGAGAAAGAAGGGAATAAGAGTAAAGCAATCCAATCTCTCCACTTTTTGCTTGTCACACATCCCTTGCCTCTGGCATGGATTTGGCACTGGAAAAAAAAGGTTATTGGTGACAACCCTGGAGTCAGTTCTGCTCTCACGGGCTGGGTTACACCAGTGGGAAGTGCCAGGCTTCGCCCACGGCAAGCATTGCCCTTTGAACTGGCTCCAGAGATGCCTGGCACCAAAAAACCAGGAGCTCCCAGCTCCTCCAGCAACACCAAGCCATGCACAACTGTTTTCCTCTTGGATCTGATCCCAAACCCTGTCAAATTAGCACCAACCTTTGCCCCAGCTGTTTAACAAAGGCATTTTGCCAAGCAGAGCAGGCTCATGCCATCCAAGTAAAACAGACAAATGCCAAAGCCACAGATTATAAACCTGTTAGGAAAAGTCACGCAGTATTTCCCAAGGAGCACAGAAATGCCCAGGAGAGCTCTGGCATCCCCAAAGCCCATGCCAGCCTCTCCAACCTGCTGCTGCAAATGTTCATCCCACACAGTCCTGCAGGATCTCACCCAGGGACAGATTTAAACTTGACTCCTTTCACTGCATCAGTTGCTTCAGGCCCAGACCCCTGCAGCTCTGGCCCATGGCAACAACAAAACACGAGGAGATGAACAAAAAAGCTAATTTAACACTGATGGCAGTGAGATTGCCCAGTGAGACCTGTGCCAGCTGCCCTGCAGTGGAGCACTAGGAAGGAACCTGGTGTGACCAGCAGCAGTGGTGGGAAAGGACCTGGGGAGACCTCCTAAGCCAAGTCCCTGCTCCAGCAGGGTCAGCTGCAGTGGGTTTCCCAGGACCAGTCCCTGGCACAGATGGGGATCTTGGATCTAACCTTCCTAACTGCACCAGTGCAGGGATGGTGAATGTCCAGCAGGGGTCTAGGAGGATTCATCCTGCACTCCTCCACAGGCAGGTGGATGGAGACCCACCAGGACTTGAAGGCCAGTGGTGGCAGGAATATTCCACCCAGCACATCCTCGTGGGAAGCCAGATGTGCAGGAGACAGTCGTGCCACGTGTCACAGCCCGTGCAGGACACTACCCTGCCCTCCCTCACGCTTGGGCAGCAGCCCAGATGTGTCTGGAGGAGGTTTGGAAGGAAGGTAAACACAGCCAGGGCACATGTGTGGCCCACACGTGGCCAATGGCATTTCCTGCCCCAGGCTGGCACTGGGCTGGGTGTGGGCCAGGGGGCACGAGGAGGGACCCCACTATCCTCTGCTTGTTAGGAGCTGTTAGTCATCCCAAACTTTGCCAGGCTCTTGTAGCAGGAGAGGGTTTTCCATGGGTTCTGAAAGAGGGTAGGGTTAGATGGGATATCGGGAAGGAATCCTTCCCTGGGAGGGTGGGGAGGCCCTGGCACAGGTTGCCCAGAGAAGCTGTGGCTGCCTCTGGATCCCTGGAAGTGTCCCAGGCCAGGTTGGACAGGGCTTGGAGCAACCTGGGCTAGTGGAAGGTGTCCCTGCCCATGGCAGGGGGTGGAAGGAGATGATCCTTAGGGTCCCTTCCAACCCAAACTGTTCTAGGACTCTGTGATCCTCCCTATTGCAAGACCTCTCCACGTGGGTGACCCAGGAAGAGGGCATGGCAGCACATTCCCTAAGCACACCCTCTCCACCTCACAGAGCATTTTTAGCCCCATTTTCTTGCTCACCCTTGGCAGAGCCACATCTGCAAGCCCAGAATCTGCTTCCTTTGTCACAGGAACTGTAGGAAACGAAGCCCAGCACAGCTCTCTAGTCAGCTGCAGCTTTTCCAAGCCGCTCAGCACTAAAACCCACCCAAGCTTTCACGAGCTCTCACTGCTTGCAGCAAGTGGGGCTCCCGTCACAGCACACGGAGCCCAGAGCACCGTGGCAGTCGCAGCACTGCCAACGTAGGGACAAGCTTTTCTCCTGGGGCACTTGTTCTCAAAGAGACAGGGATCAGCAAAGTCACTCCAGATT